CATGCGCACTGGATAGCCAAAGACGGTGTCACAATGGTAGCATGTGTAGCTTTGCAGTGTGCGCTGTTGAGGTTAGGTGGAGTGCATAAGTGAGTGTGGAGTGGCGGCAGATGGACGGTAACCATACTTGCAAGAAGCAAAGGATGAACCAGCGACGTCAGGGGGCGACCCGGGGCCACCAGGGGGGGTGCCGGAGGGTTAGGTTGGGGTGGGGGCTGGGGTGGGGGTGCCGGGTCCCCCCCTTGGACGGGGGACTCAGTTGGCGTTGAGGGGTTGCCCTCCTCACACCCTTCCCCTTTTTGTTTGTTTTTTTCTTGAACCCCATCAATCAATCAATCCCCACGCGCACCGCCCTCAGGCCGCCGCCGCCACCACCGCCGCCACCGCCGCCGCCGCCACCGACGAACAAGGAGCCGCCAGCGCCCAAGGAGCCGCCGCCGCCGCCGCCGCCGCCACAACAAAGCGTATCAGCTGCGACAGCTGCGGCGGCGGCCGCCGCCGCCGCGGCGGCGGCAGCGGAAGCAGCAGCGTCAGCGGCGGCTGCCGCTGCTGCTGCCGCCGCCGTTCCATTGTCAGAGTCTGTCTCCACGTCTGACGTCGGGCAAGCCGTACCTGGCGCTGCGGGCCGCCGCCGCAGCAGCCAAAAGAGCACTGGCAGCGGCGCCGTCGACAACGACGATGGCGGCGATGGCGACGGCGACACCACGGCTCGCCGCACCGACGGTGAAAGCGACGACGGAGACGCTGCCAGCGGCGCCGACGCCGGCGGCGGCGGCGCGGCACCAAAAGCGAAGAAGAAGAAGAAACGAAAGCCCGTCGCCGCCAAGCCGCGCGACAGCGACGGGCCTGGCGGCGCCGCCTCCAGCAGCGTCGGCGGCGGCACAGGCAGCGTCGCCGCCAGCACGCCTCGCAAGCTGCTTCAGCCGGTGCGGCAGCCAGAAGTACCGGACTGGTCCAAGGTGGGCCCGTCGGCGGCTCTCTTTGACGCCAAGACAGATCAGGAAAAGCGTGCGGCGATCCTGGCGCGCATGGCTCGCGACGCAGGGCCCGATTGGAAGCCGCCTGGTGTGGTGGGGGACTGGTTCAGCATGTCGCACTACCTGTACGACGGTACGGATCCAGACAAGCGGGGTGCGGCGATGGCCAAGGTGGCGGAAACGATGGCGGCCAACGGTCAACCGCTCTGGAGGCCAGGGGGAGGTGGGAACTTTGAGGCCGCCTCTGCTTTGACCGGTCTTGCCTGTCAGCCTGTCAGCCTGTCTGTCTGTCTGTCTGTCCGTCCTGTTGTCTGTCTGTCTGTCAGCCTGTCTGTCTCTCTGTCTGTCTGGTTTGTCTCCCTGTCTGTCTGTCTGCCTGTCTGTCTGTCTGCCTGTCTGCCTGTCTGCCTGTCTGTCTGGTTTGTCTCCCTGTCTGTCTGTCTGTCTGTCTGTCTGTCTGTCAGCCTGTCTGTATCCCTGTCTCCCTGTCTGTCCATCTGTCTGTCTGTCTGTCTTGTTTGTCTGTCCACTCGTGCTACTGGGGGAGATCAGAAAGACATATACCCTTCCCTCCCAACACGAATCTGTCGTACCCACACCCTCATCTGAACCCTCCGCGGCTCCGCGTCGCTCGCCCTTCCCTCCGCAGTCGCCGTGCACCAGTGGTTCAGCATGTCACGGTCAATGTACGACGGCACTGACCCGGCGAAACGCATGGAGGTGATGAGCAAGGTGGCGGCGCAGACGCAGCAGCCGCCCCTGAACCCCATGTGGCGGCCCCCCGGCAGTAAGTCGGGAGAAAAGCTGTTCAAAATACATACGATGTAGTGGTGGTGTATCTTTTATTTGCTTAACAATTTTTACTTGTATTATTTGTTTACTTCTATTTACTTGGAGTCTACTTTTTCTATTCACTGATAGAGTTTGTGTAATGCAATACCGTTTCAGTGCGGTTGTTGTTGTTATTACTGCAGAGGGCTACCAAGTTTCTATACCGTACAGCAAATACCGTACAGCAAATACCGTACAGCAAAGAAACCAAGTCCAAAGGGCACATCGCCTGTCGCTGTAATGTAAGACACACATAGCCTGGAAAGGAAGAACAAGTGGTCCGTACCGGCACCGGCACCGGCACACACAACACCTCAACAAGCTCGGCCACGACTAATATAACCGGGCTAGCACTGCTAGTGCCGACAGGGGGTAACTTGCCACTACTGCTACGGCTCCCCTATGGGCCGTATGAGACAAACGCATGCCTACAAGTACGGGCCGGCGTACTAGTGTGTTGCCTCGATGTGAAGAAGTACTAGTGCGGCCAAATACACACACACGGGACCGCCTTCCCACCATCCGCTGTGCCCGAAAATCACCCAAGGGGTGGAATTACCGATCACATTCGTCTGTGAGCGAATCCATGTAAAGCAACGAATTTTGTCCTCTACTACCCTAGGGTGAGGAAGGGTGGTAAGGTCCAACTGTGTTCCCACCGCGCTTGGGTCGGCCTAATCCAGTAAAAGGACGCAGCCGCACCCAAAAGTCAACAATCACTATTGTGGATATGGCTCGGTCCATGATTTGGGGCGGATGAGTTGTGCGATTTCCTGTCCGTGTGCTGTCGCGTTCGGGGCGAACCGACGCCCCGTCTCCATCGCACTGACTGCCGCTAGGAGGACCACTAGCTACACAGCATCCCACACACATTGTTGTTGTGTTCCCGCGGTTGCCATTCCCGTGCTTGTTATTGTCATGGTTTGCTTTTTCTCGTGCTTTTTTCCTGTATTTTTTATTCCGATTTTATTATTCTTTATACATTTCCCCTCGCTATCCTTTCCCATTCCGCCGCACTTGCCTCGGCGGCAGTTGGACCCGGCATTGGCAGACCCCGGTACGACAACGGCCTCTTCGACGGCGAGCCAGAGAAGGAGCGCCGTACATCCCTGAACGGCATGCCTCCGTGGCGGCCGCCAGGTGCGCAGTTGGGGTCCGCATCCTCCTGGGGGGTTTTCTGTTAGGGAGATGATGGAATTAGGGAATTAGGGGGAGGAGCCAGTCCAGGAGGGAGAGGAACTGCGGGGGCCGTTTTTGTGCTGAGCTCCCGGGGTAAGAAGCTTCTAGATTTGTTGTTCTTCGGACAGAAAATATGTCCACTTTGCTTCCTCGGAGCTATCGCGGTGTTGCTGTCGGTGATGGTGGTGCTAATGCTGGCGATAGCAATGCGGTATTAATACACAAAACCCTCTGCTTCCCCGCCGCTTCCCCCCTCTCCCCCCCCTCTCCCCCCCCTCTCCCCCCCTCTTCCCCCCCGCTTCCCCCCCGCATCGAGTATTACGCTCAGGGGTCCCCCGCATCGAGTATTACAACTACTACAACAACAACGCCCCAGCTGGTGCCTTCAGTCCTCATTCCTCTTCCGATGGTGACGATGGTGGTGATGATGAAGATGATGGTGATGATGGTGCGGATCTGGATCTGGATTTGGATCTGGATGCTCCCCCGGGGGAGACGCCGGAGGAGCGTGAGGCTAGGCGGGCGGCAAGGCGGGCAGAGAGGCGGGCGGAGAGGCGGGCGGCAAGGCGGGCGGCACGTGCGGCTGCCAAGGCGTCCGGCGGGCTGGCTGGGGAGAGTGAGCGCGTGGAAGGGAGGGACGGGGGGGACTGAGGGCGAGGGTGAAGGCGGGGGAGCATCCTGGCATGCGTGTCGTTTTTCTCCGCCACCTCCGTGTATTCGTGTGTGTGTGTATTCGTGTGTGTGCGCGGGTGCCTCCGTCTTCCCCCGGTTTTCCCTTTCATTCCTTTGACCTTCCGCTGTCGTACAGGCTCTGGCGGTTCTCTGGGCACCCGTCTCAACGGCCGTCAGCCCTGGCGCTTCACTTACGCTGTGGACGACGACGTAGTGGTGTCCGGGAACGACCCGCCGCAGGTCAAGTACGACGCCATTTTACGAGAGGAGAAGTGAGCAGGGAGGGAGGGAGGGGGAAGGGGGAAGGGGCCTGTGTGTTTTTGTACGGTTTTAGGAAGAGGAGCCGCTGGTGCTTCTGGGGGCTCTTAGGGTACCGCAAAAGGAATGGCTTCGGAGCGTTCAGGTTTCTGGGGAGGGGGGAATACCCGGGGGAAACTCTTGAGGATCGCAAACCATCAAGGCAGTTGTGCCATTTCAAATACTATCAAATGTAAAGTGCTATACGTGTCTCTCCCCTCCCCCTCCGGGTACTTTCCCTTCTTCAAAAAAGCACGTTCCCTCATCCTTCCCGCGTCCCCCCTTTCGCTGCCACCGCAGGCCAGCCCCAAGGCCTTGGAAATACACCGTGAATGCGGAACCGACACGTAATGTGCCGTACAACATTTGGGGGCCTTATGTGGATCCCGGTCGCAACCCACCCAGCCCTACGAAGCACGAGACACTCTTGTCGGCGGCCATGAAGCGCCTCAGTGAGTTGCTCCAAGTCCTTTTCTTCACGCAGTGCGCATCAGCCTGCTCGCGGTGCTCCGCCTGCCTGCGACACAACCTACTTACGTTGTGATGTGCCTGATGATGTTGATGCTGCTGCTGTTGCTGTTGTTGTTGTTGTTGTTGTTGGGCCCCGCCCTCCCCAAACAACCCCCCGTGGTGGCGATCTGCGCGGTTGCCAGTGTCTGCGTTACTTACATGTCAGTATGTATGTCTTTCACCTGCTGTAGTTGTAGCTGTAGCTGTTGATCAACTTTTGCTTGTATACCTACCTGCTTCTCCCCACATCATATATAATTTCCTCACTCAGTAACAGAAGCTCATTGAAAAGGACTCCTGAAATGCCGAAATATATCATTGAGATTCCCTCGCAGCTCCTATCGTAGTATAAGGCCTTGCTGGCCTGTAACAACTACCATTGTTACAGTCACATCCTGGTCACATCCAGGTTTTTAGCAACTGGCAACGGATTCCGTTGGAATACTTTGCACATGCTGTATGATCTAAGCATCTTCTGTACGACCTGCCGTACAGGCCCGGACGTGGAGGCGGTGGTCGGTAGTACAACACGTGTACGAGGACAGCCCAGCGCGCGCTCCTTCTCCAGCGTTCACACCGACAGCGGCGGTGGCGGCGGCGGCGGCACAGGCAGCGGCAGTGGCAGTCCTGTAGCGGCCGAGGCACCCCGTTTAAGCAACGGCGGCGGCGCCGCCGCCGCCGCGGCAGCAGCGGCGGAGCCCTCGACGACTGTCGACTGTGCCGACACGGCACCGCCGTCGCCGAGCCACGACGCCGCCGACGCCGTTGCCGCTGACGCTAAGGCTGCGGACGCTACCGACGCGCACTCAGATTCGGAGGCGACGGCAGCGGCGCACAAACGTTCCGGACCTCGGGGCGCCAAGTCACTACGCCGTAACATATCCATGCCGCAACTAAACCGGCGTGCGGGGGGTCCTCAGCGGTTTTTCTCTGCACGACATCATCGTCATCACTCAACCAGCATCATCGGCGCCGCTGCCGCCATCCCAAGCTACGTCGTACTTGCGCCTGAGGTGTCGGCCGCCGCCGCTGATGCCGTGGCGCCGCTCGTCGCCGTCTCGACGCACGACACTACTGCGGCATTGCATGGACTGCCGTACGAGCTGAGTGTCATGGGCCACTCCGCGGTGCTGTCGCCGATGCGCATATCGGGCCTGGCGGCGGCGGCATCGGGCGTGTACGACAGCAGCGATGGCGGAAGCTGCAGCGGCGATGTCAGTGGCAGTGAGGACCCTGAAGCGCTCCGTCGAGTGGGATTGTTTGCACCACGGCCGCCGAGCCCCCTTTCCAGGGCCTTTCCGGCGGGTGTCGACGACGGCTTGCTTGAAGCGGAGCCAAGTCAGGGCGCTGCTGACGGCGCCGCCGCCGCTGCGCTATCGTTGGCCGCATCGGCATTGGCCACGGAAGCCGGACTCTCGGCTGCCGGTGACGTGGCGGTCGTGATGGCCTCCGCGGCGGCGGCCGTCGTGGAGGTTGACTTGACGGCGGCGGCGGCGGCGGCGGCGCCGTCAGTGGACCCGCTGACTCTGCCGCAGCTGTCGTCCCTGCGGCATCAACTCCCCATGGAAGATCTGCAGCAAAGATTGTTGCAGCTACAGCATGAGCAGGGGTCGCATGACGGCGGCGGCTATTTGGACGAGCTGGCGGAGGGAGACCCGTCGTACCTAGATTTTGCCGTAGCGGCGGCGGCAGCAGCATCGTCGGCAGGAGGCTTGGCGGAGGCGGATAGGGACGCGGCTTCGGCAGCGGCCGCCGCGGGGGAACAGGGGTCGCCGTCACTGCCGCCGACGGCGGCAATGCCGACGGCAGCACCGCCGTCGCCGCCGTCGCCATTCGAGCCTACATCGCCGATGGAGGGCCGTCTGGCCTATTTCCGCTCCCTTCAGCTTCCCAAATGCACCTCCACCTTCTCATCTGAATTTGGAATCAACTACACCAGTCATGGCACTATCAAGCGCCGCTCGCGCGTCTGGCGCAGGTCTTACGAATCGAACTCGGGCGACGGCAGCGGTGAGTACGGCGACGCTGGCGGCGCCGGCGGAGTCCGTGCACGGAATCGCAGCGCGCCGCGGCTGTACCCCCCGGCGGGGTCCACCCTCCCCGATGGGGGGGAGCCCAAGCGTATCTGCTCGGCACGACGCCGGGGGCCTTTCTCCACAGCTGGGGTCAAGCCGTACCCCCTGGGTCTGGATCCAGTTGTCGTACGGAGCTTGCCGTTGCATTTGCGGGTAAACGCCCGCGCTCGGTCGGCACCAGGCTCACCTCGCGGCAGCATCAGCGTCTCGCCGGTGTCGGAGGAGGAAGCCTTCGGAGTTACCGTCAGCGGCGGCGTCGCCGCTGCTGCTGCTGGCACCGGCTCAGCAGGCGTCACAGCTGCCGCTGCTGCCAGTGCAGCCACGGCAACCGCCGCGCCGGTTGAGAAATCGTACAGGACGTTGGATTCACACGGCTCAGTGTCTGCTACGGTGGTGGCGGCGGCGCAACCGGCGCAACCAGGGGCGCAATCAGCGATGCTTTTTGCGAGCCGGGATGATTTGCCGCCGTTGCCGGCCATCTTACAGGCAAGCTCCGAAACCAAACCCGGCCGTACGTGCAGTCGTGTCCATGTCCCGCCGTGTGTCTCTGAGCCGCCACCCAATGTTGCGCCGCGACTTGGGGCTCACAGCATTTCCCCTTGCGTGCCACTTTGCTGAAACCGAAACGGCGCATCTTTCGTTCTTTCCTTGCTATCTGTCGTGCCCTTGATCACTGCCGCTGGGCCCCCTCCACCGCTGCCGCTGCCGCTGTTGTTGCTGTTGCTGCTGCCACTGTTGTTGCTGTTGTTGTTGCCGCTGCTGTTGCTGTTGCCGCTGCTGTTGGTGCTGTTGCTGCTGCTGCTGCTGCCGCTGCTGTTGCTGCTGCTACTGCTACAGGACCCCCGCGCGCAAGATATCTTGGCATCTCGGAGTGCGCACTTTGCGGCCCAGCGGCGTACGGCAGCTAAAGCCTTCGCTCAGCCCGACCCACGGGCCATGTACGAGCTTTTGCTGCTCAGCCGGTGCATACAACAAAACCAAACGGATGACTTGTACGGCACAGCAGCGCCTGTCCAGGGAGGCTCAAGGCGCAAATTGGCGGCTGTAACAGCCCAGAGCACTCAGATTGCGAGCCTAATCGACGCGCATAATAAGGCCCATGTAAAGCTGGCGGCGCCGGCGCCTATCCCTGTGGGCCGAAACGGCGGCGGCGGCGGCGGTGCGGCGGCGGCGCCCGCGCTGGCGTGGACGGGCCATAACCCGTCGCCACGCAACAGCTTCATCCAGTCGCAGGCCTCGGCCACGTTGGCGCTGCCACCGGTACGGCAACCGTCGACGTTATTGCAGCCGGCGGCGGCGTCGGGGAGCTATTTGTGGTTTCAGCCGACGGCGCCGCCATCGGTGCTACCGCCGATTGCCGGGTCGGAGTTTGTCCGTCGCTCTACTCTGACTCCCGTGTCCTTCACGACGCCGACGGCGACCTCCACGGGGGTGCCGCTTGCGCAGCCCCCGCCCCCGCCGCTGTACGGGCAGTACACGTTCGCCGCCGCGCCGTCGACGGCGCCAATGACCGATATTTTGACAGGATCTTGGGTTTGTAGCCGTCCTGCGTCTGCACGCGAGCTCATGTCGGCAGGGTCGGTGGTGGCGGAGCTGCTACCGCCGGCTCCACCGTTGCAGCAGCAGCAGCAGGAGCCACCGCTGCAGCCGCCACGGGCGCTAGGCCGGAGCTCTAACGGCCTAAAGCATCTACCGCCGCCGGTGCTGCAGCACCAGCCATCACGGCCTGAGTCGGCGGCGGCGGCAGCTGCGGCTCCACAACCGCCGCCGCCGTTGCTTCGCATCGCTAGCAGCCGTACCAGCAGCCGGGAGGGCGGCAAAGGTGCCGTACTTTCCCAGGTCGCCGGCTCCAGGGAGGCTGGCAGCCAGGGCAGGCTGGGCAGTCCGGTATCAAGTGTTAGTTTGACGGGTCACAACCATTTTAGCGCTGCCACCGCTGCCGCCGCCGGCGATGACGACGCGTTTGGCACCGGCTCTGGGCCCCCCTGGGCGCCGGCGACCGCTTCGTTTAGCGTTCCTCCGCCACAGGACGCGATCCGACCAGGTTCAGGCCACGGGATTGATTCTCCCCTCCCATTGTACGGCAGTGCAACCGCCGGCGCGGCTGCCACCGTCACTGACGTCACAGGTACGACAGGGTCGGCGTCGCCGCTGACGGCGGAGTCCAGCTCCTGGAGCGGCGTTCTGCCGCCGATCGCCGCCTCGGTGCTGGCGTTACAGACGCAGCCCTCGATGCTATTTCATCAGCATCACCACCAACAGCAGCAGCAGCAGCCTGTCGCCGAGGCTGTTGCTGCTGCTGCTGCTACTACTGCGGCTGTGGCTGTAGTAGCGGCGACAGGCCATTTACAGCAGCAGCAGCAACAACAACAAGAACAACAACAGCAGCAGCATTCATTTCACCTGGCACAGCTGCAGAATCCCCAAATCCCGCTGGCGCCGCCGCCGGCCCCGCAGCAGCAGGCGAACGGCCATAACGCTCGTAACGCCTCCCCCAAAGCCCAAAGGTCCATATCCCCCGTGGCGCGCATTTCTACCCCGACGTCGAACCAAACCTCAGGCTCCATTTCTTTGTCGTACCCGCCCGTCGTCGGCTACAGATCCTCAACCTCCACACCCAGGCTGCCTGCCGTAGGGCCGCCGCGGCGGTCCCCTGCATCTGGCGTCATGCCGTACGACGGCATCGGCGGCGGCGGCAGCGGCGCCGCCGCCGCCGTCTCTGTACCATCCCTTGGCGCGGTGCTGGATGTGCCGGTACTGGTGGCGTCGGCGTCGGCGTCGGAGGTCGGCGGCGCCGGGGGAACCCCGCGACGCAAGGCCAAGGGCCAGCTGCGAGTGGGACGAGCACCGTTGGGGCTTCCGCTGGCCGCGAGGACACCTGAGCGGCCGCCAGGATCCGGCGGCCTCTGAGCGTGTGAGAGCCAGAGAGCTCCGAAGCCGGCTCATGCCCATCTGGGCTGCTGTTATTGTTGTTTCGAGACGATATCGGTGTTTCTTTCCTTTTTAATGCGGACAGCATTGAAATGGGGTTCGGATTGACCTTTGCCGTTGCCCTGTTGTCACTGAGGCGCGCCTGGTGTTGCGATGCTTGGGGCGTTTTGGCCTGTGAGTGCGCACCCGCCTCAACTGCCCCGCGTACGACTTTCAATCTTTTGGATTTGTTTTCAAATTCAAATTTTAAATAGATTCGCTGGCTTTAGTACCGAAGCTGCTGGGCGCGGATGGACTGCTTGGGACGAAAACAGCCCCTCGGAGAGAAGGCCGCAAAAAAACTTGGGAGGAAAGCTCGACGTCTAAAAGCTCGCCGGGAGGACTATTTAGCATTAAGCTTAGCTTGCTAATATTTTTTTAAGCTGCTCGTTGCTGGGCAGGATTGCAGGTTGTTCAATGGCGCAGTGATGTGTAATGTGAGGACGATGATGATGTTCATAACTATGATCTGATTTAGCCTAGCATGTGATCTGGATAATTGGATCTCACTTAATGGAATGTGATCTGATCTGTATAATCTGATCTAATCTTTATCTGATTCGCGGGACGGCGGCCTAAAACGACAAAATGACAATACTGCACACTGCTGAGGAGTTGCTGGTATGTCGCTAGGCGGTGATGGCGATTACGGCCCATGAAGGCTGCTTCTGTAAGCTCGCGCGCGCGTGGGAAAGCACGGGGAAAAGAAGAAGAAGAAGAAGACGGAAAAGTCGTTTGTTTGTTTTTGCGTTTACGAGATGTTGCGAATGAAGGCGAGCGTTTTTGGTTTCTCTCTCCTTTAGGAACCATTTTCCCCTTTCGCGGCTCCAGCGGCCCAACCAAATCTCGTTCCATTGCGTCTGGCTAGCACCCTAGCACCCTTTGCTTACTCCCCAGTCCCAAGCACCCCATGCGGTCGAACAGAGCGGCGGATGCGAAAAGCGGGTAGTGGTTGTGTGAAGGCGATGGTAATGGCGTGACTGTGATGGCTGCCTGGAGTGCTGCGGTAGCTTTTCAGCACATGACTTTCCTCTCTCCCCTCTCTGGATTTGGGTTTTTGAGTTTTGGGTTTTACTACTTTGCAGAGACGGATTTTGGCCGTCATCAGTTTGGCGTGAAGTGGTTGTGTTCGTTGGGTGGACAACTGGCAGCCCGGGGCTCAACTACAAGAGGGAGGGTACGTTGTCGTGCGCTGCCGGTTTAGGGGGAAGCCCGGGTTGCTGCGGTGCGTGCTGGTGTGTGGTGTTGGTGGTGTGTGGTGTTGGTGGTGTGTGGTGTGGTGGTGTGTCGTGGTGTGTGGTGTTGTTGGTGTGTGGTGGTGTGTAGTGTTGGTGGTGTGTGGTGTTGGTGGTGTGTGGTGGTGGTGGTGAAAATCTATTAATTGTGTTTGTTATGTTGCACGCACACTTGGGCACGAGGGCCGGGGGTCCTGCGGCGCCGGTCTGGGCAACCGCGATGATGATGCTCTCTCCGCCTACATAATGTGTGTGTGTGTGTGCGTATGTGTGCGTGTGGTTTTCACTTATGTCCGTGCGTCTGTCTGTCTGTATGATTGTGTATTTGTTGCTGGGGTTTCATGCAAATGCGGCAATGTGGATGTGGCGATGTGGATGGTGTGTGTTTTCTTTGTGTTGTGCTTGTTGTTGATTGGCGCCACTGGCCGCGATGTAAGTAGTAGTGTTGATGGTAGTTCTTAGATGATGATGGTGATGATGATTATGATGGCGGTTATGACTTGAAGCTATCAGCTGTGGCTGTGTATGTGGCTGTGTGGAGCTCTTTACGTATTCTTACCTTTAAACTTGGGGCCAATCTTGGAATCCGCGTCCCAAAATGCGCACGCCACGCGTCACGCGTGTATGTATGTGTGTCTGTATATAGGTATATAGTACTGCGTGTGTTTGCAAAAACATCTTTCCCACCGGGGGGCCTCATATGCACAACACTTTGGGGCATCATGCTCGGGTATGTGTGTCCAGATGTATGTGTGTCCAGATTGCCTTCTCCTGTCGACATTTTGTGGTAGTACGAGTACCTGTACAACATGGTACGATGTATGTAATAAGACACGACGAAGTGCACGCGCGGCTGGTGCACCAGTTGCCAATATCATACCTGCTATTATTATAAATGAACGTAATTGTCGTTGCTCTGCACACTTGTGGCCTGATTGGCAGTTGCCATCCCTTCCCGCTAATTACTTATACCTTGACAGTAGCGGCAGCAGATACATAATATATAACTGGAATCACTGGAAATGAAATGTACTGAAAAGGTTAGGTGGCTTCAGGACGATAATTAGTTCGGAATGGAAGCAGAAATCTGTCACCCCTTCACGGCGTCACGCCCCGTGAGCGCCGCCCCCTTACATCATATCCGGGATCGCTGCGGTCATAATCATAATCGGAAGCGGCGACATCGGGCAACAATCGGAACCGTCCGCCCCCCCACACCCCGTTCTCCGGGGGGACCTCGTTCAGCGGTGGTCCCGAAGGGCGGTGATCTCCCGCAGCCGCTGTCGCTCCTCCTCTGCTCGCGCCACCTCCACACCCACCGCCAGCGCCAGACGCGCCTCCGCGATCTGCCGTACGATAGTACAAGAGGATCCAAAACACAGATGTGAAATTCGTTAAAACTGGTTGTACGGCGGATACGTCAGGGTGTCGGGGTACGGCAAATGGTAGCAGTAGTGAGCAGGCGGGCAGGTTGATGTCAATGTTGATGTGAATTCTAAGTTCATAAGTCAGCCCCATCCTTACACGTTCTGCAACGCCTGGAAGCGCACAGGCAAGAGGGAGAGGAAGAGCGAAATTTGAGAGAGGGACACACATAAAAAAATGGTGTTTAATGATTACGATTATGAATAGATCCCGGATCACCACGCACGAACGCACCTTGGCCAGCGCCCCCCGGTGCAGCGCCTCCAGCGCCTCCAACTGCGCCGCTGACAGCTCCCCAGCTCTCCAAACCCCACACATGTGACGAGGGAGCAAGTCCAGATGGGCGCTACCGGGCAGTGCAGACTGGCCGCAGTTGCCGCCGCAGTAGCGGAGAGGGCCAGCAGTAGCAACACCAGTAGCAGCACAGGGCAGCAAAAGAAAAAAGTCGCCAAGTATAAGTAAAAACTTGAGCGGAGGTGAGATTGCAGCTGTAGCAGCATCTAGGGGGGCAGAAGGCGGGCAAAACTTCAGTACAGCGAGTCGGCAGTGCAGTCAGGGATGGGAAGAGGAGAAGAGGGAGGATATGGGGGTGCCCGGACCGCCTGTGCCCACCGGGTCGTCGGTACCCAAAGCACCTGCATGACCGTCAGCGCCTCCGCCTCCCAGGAGGCCGCAGCATCAACACCGAGCAGCCCGCCGGTCGCCACTTCTTCCAACACTTCCTCCTCCTTCGCCTCTCCCACGTCTCCATCGTCTTCCTTCTCCTGAATCTCCTGAAGCAACCGCTGCTGCTGATGATGATGCTGATGATGCTGATGATGCTGATGATGCTGATGATGCTGATGATGCTGATGATGCTGATGATGCTGATGATGCTGATGATGATGCTGATTCTCAGCGGTGCAGTTTGCGGCCGCATTCGCGGTGCAGACCGCGGCGCCCCGGGCGGTCGGTCTATCCGCGGTGCCGCTCGTCATCAGCTGGCGACCTGTAGCTTCGGAGCCGGCTGCAGCGGCAGCGGCGATACCGGCAGCGGATTCAGCCCCGCAATTACTGTGTGGCTGTGTGGCAGGGCACAGCACGGCACCGGTCCGTGCTGCAGCTTTCGTTGTCCAGTCGGATCGAACCCCACTACTGCTGTTACCCTTACCCTTTTTGAACCTGTCAATGCTGCTACTGCTGCTGCTGCTGCTGCTGCTACTGTTCTTGTTGCGTTGTGCAATGTGGGAGGGGGAAGTTAAGGAGGCGGCCGCGGCAGGGGGAGTGACAGCACGGGCAGCAGCACCGGCAGCAGCACCGGCAGTGGCCGTGGGGGTGGCAGTGGTGGCGGCTGTCGGTGCACCGGATTTCAGGGAGGTCGACTTGAGATCGTTACGCGACAGGGGACTGGGAGCTGCTACGGGGAAGCTTGGCAGCGGTGGCGGTGATGGTGGTGGTGGTGACCGCGGCGGCGGTGGTGATGGCGGCAGTACGGACGACGATGATGTCATCTGCGACAGCGGCAGTGGCAGTGGGTTCTTCGCTCTTCGCTTCTTGTCCTTTATCACTGTCTTCCAACTGCTGCTGCTGGTTGCGCCCTCCGTCATGTCAAGCTCAGGTTGCAGCTGGTGATTGGTCTGCTGCTGCTGCTGCTGCTGCTCCTGCTGCTGCTCCTGCTGCTGCTCCTGCTGCTGCGAGGTTGGTGCCGTCATAACGCCCGATGGCGGCGACGATGGTGATGGTTGTTGCGATGCATCCCTCGGGGCAATGGCCGGGGCCACGTGCGGCGCTACAGAGCTGCTGCTACTGCTGCCGCCACTGCTGCCGCCACTTCCGGCTGCTGCGGCCTCCGCAATCCCCGCCTCAGCTTTGTCATCCTGCACCGCCTGTGCGGATCTGGAAATAGTCCTAGATTTGGATTTGGATTTGGATTCGGATTTGGAATTGGAAATCGATTGTGGCTGGGGGACTGCCTCAGACGTGGAAGTCCCCTGTCTGCTGCTGCTGCTGCTGCTGCTGCTGCTGCTGTTACTGGTAGTGTTGGTGATGTTGGTAATCAAATTGGTGTTGCTGTCAGCACTGGCGGGCTGGCGGTCGGGGTACATCTGGCTGCCAGAGGAGGTCGTTGAGCCCACCCCCGTACTCGTTGACCGGGTCGTTGTGGACCACGTTGGGGGGCTACCGGGAGGGATCGGTGGCGGCGCAGGCAACCAGGACTCCACGAGCTGTACGACACAGCATGTACAACACACACATTATATTACAACACGCATCAACATCCAAAACCCATCACGGTTCCCTAAAAGTCCCCTCCCCCCCGGGGTTGGATTGCGTGGGGGGGGGAAGATGATAAACGGCCAACTGCCTCATTGGCAACTGTCAGCGCAGGAAACCTCTCAACATTTTCTTTCCGGATATAGAGAGGGCCTTATGCCCCCTCCAGATTTTCTCTCCTTGAGTGGCAGTGCAAAACACAGTCCCGCGCACAAGCTGCCGCCTTTTCATCCCCCCACGAAAACCACCTAAGGCTGGCTGGCTGGCAAGACCCCCCACCCGACCCCTCCCGGGCCTTTTCACCTGGACCTCCGAGTGATTCCCTCCCCTCCCCTCCCCTCCCCTCCCACACTCCCCCCCAGGACCAGATCCACCTGAAGAGTCGCCGTGTCGCCCGACAGCCGGGCCTCAGCCAACACGTCCCGCCCGCCGCTGTTGCGACGGAAAATCAGCTCACGAGCAGCAACAGATGCGCGCGAACCAGCTGAAGCCGCCGCCGCCGCTGCAGCTACAGCTACAGCTGCTGAGGCGGACGCCGCCGCCGCTGCTGGCGTCGGCGGTGCTACGGCTTCCAGGAGCATCGTAAGGCAGGCACGGCAACCGCGCCGCGCGGCGTAATGCAGTGCCGTACTACCGTTGGCATCCGCCACGGCCACGGCCGAGGACAGCGCCTCGACGTCGTCGTCACCGGCGACGGTAGCTGCGGCGGCAGTAGCAATAGCAGTAGCATCCGCCTTGGAGGATGGCGGCTCCAGCTTCCGCTCTCGTTCCTGCGCGGGACTAGGTGATGGATGGTTTCAGTTGGTCGTTAGCGGTTGACATGCCAAACAGCTAAATGTATATGGATTTGACATGTAAACACACTCCACACCTTCGTTTTACGAGCAAGTTTACAATTTGCAACAGCAGCGGCCCCATTTTGGTGTTACCAGCAACCTTTCGTGGCTCCGGAGCGGAGCTTGATGCGTGCTTGAAATCCAAACCTCCGCAGTCCCCCCCCCTCCCCGCACCGTGACATGTCGGTCGGACCCAAACCCATACACACACATACCCATACATACACACAAACACACACACGCGCATCTCATACACACAAACACACACACGCGCGCGCGCGTCTCGACACGTCCACGTACCCACCCGACACGCACGCAGCAGCAGCTGCAGTACAAGCGGGTGGCCGCCACTCGCCGCCGCCATGAGGGGCGTGACGCCGTCGTCGTTGGGGAGACCAGGATCCGCCTCCGCCTGCGGTGTGTGTATGTATGTATGTATGTATGTATGTATGTATGTATGTATGTATGTATGTATGTATGTATGTATGTATGTATGTATGCATGTATGTATGTATGTATGCATGTATGTATGACTTAGATTACACTGTGGGCCGCGAGAGCCGGGGGCCGAAGCCGAAACACAGCGCAAGGGTCGGGAGCACACAGCACAAGTCGGTTAGTCTTGTATGTATGTATGTATGTATGTATGTCGGTTAGTCTTGTATGTATGTATGTATGTATGTGTGCCAAAATGCGTAAAGTGCTGTGAATACATGCAAGTTGATATGAATGGTGGTGTAGGTGTAGGGTCGGTTTGGACCGAGGGATGGCAGGGCTTGCCAGTGAGGTAGGTATAGTTGCGCTAACAGTTCGCAGTTGACAGTTGACAGTTGCCAACCGCCCGGTACCCTAAACACAATGATGGAGAGCTATTGCGCGTCTCGTGCACACGCGGCGCCGTACTCGGTACAAAAGCCGATTAAAATTTACGTTGCCGTACGCCGTACCCGCCTTGAGTAGCACCGCCGATACTCCTAGGTGGCCCGTACCACACGCGTACAACAGGGGGGTCGAGCCGTTGGCACTCAACAAGTCCACTGACGCCAACCTCTTCGAAGATTCGTGTCGATGGTGTTGCTGCAGTGTCTGATGCTGCTGATGCTGTGCAAGGGATGGCACGTTGGCGGAGGAGAGTGCAGACACGATGTGCCGTACGGAAGCCAGGTCACCCTGCGGCGGCGGCGGTACAATATTTTAATGAATACGGCATGGTGGTAACACAGCTGGGCTTACGGCAGCACATCTGTATAAAGCACCATCAGCGCGGCCGGTCTCATGACCATAAAACATTTAACAATTCAACGCCGGCCACTCTGCACCATCATCCGCCGCCGCGCTTTGCCGTACATACACGTCGTCGTACGTAAGGGGTTCGTGTCGTACCTTGAGCGCCGCCACATGCAGAGCGCTGTTAAGGGAAGGTTCCAGGCGGGGATAGGCGGGATGGGCGCCAGCGGCAAGCAGCTCCGAAACCACATCGGCGAGGCGGCGCTGCACTGCGGTAACCCCGGGTCGGTCCGACGCCGGGCCGCAACGCGGCGGGGCGGCAGCCATTTTCCGGCGGGAATTTTTTTCTAAATTCAGTCGCCCCTCACACACTGGGAAAGAACAGCTTACAGCTTAGATCGTAAATTGAAAGAAACGGATCGCTCGCTGGTTATTATCTGGCTGAACTTGTCGTCGCGGTCGAATGTAACCGCCAACCGTGGCTGCAGTTGCTGTTACTAGCAATTAAAATAACGGATGGAATTGAGGCGCAGAAGAAGCACGAGAGTGGTACGAGGGGCTGGCCAGGGGGTTTGCTTTTTTCCTCCGACCAAATGGGGTTGGCTTCTGCCTTTTGTCTTGCCCACAGGGACTCCCTGCTTCCGGATGCATCCAAATATCAGTCATATGACAAATTATGTTTTCAACCTACTTCCTCTTTGTTAGTGTAGATGGTTGCCGATCCGATCAGCCCAAGCGCTGTCCACCGGTGCTGCTAGGTAAACTCGTTGTACGGCATTGTACGGCACTGCGCAGGTACGACAGCCTACCGGCGTGCAGGAGCGGTGTAACGCCCATGGCGTCAGCCACTTGGAGAGCTTCAGCGACCAGAGATGGAGCGGGTTTCTGTGTCGTCGCGGCGCTGGCCCCGGTTTCGTCTACCAGCATGTTGGCGGCTTCAGCGGCCTCAGCAGCGGCAGCGGACCGGAGCTGTTCCAGAGCTGCGAGCACATCGCGGTTTGAGCCGTGCCGACATGTGAAGTGCAGCGCGGTCAGGCACTGCAAGATGGAGGCCTCGGAAATCGGCATGGTGGCTAGTTCCCTGGGCGATCGGCTCCAACCGATGCCAAATGAAGCCGGCAAGATACAATACGATTTGGATACCGCTCGTATGGCCTTACGAAATGACTACAACGCAGGAGCTGACTGTCGGACTTCCAAATTGTCTTTCCCAACACGTAGCATCATTCATTTATTATTGCGCCTTTCAAATTCATAAGGTTATTAGGTCCTAATTGGGACTTTCATCATGTTTGTTCGTTGGAGGTTAGTACAGCGTCCGTTGTCAGCAATACTTGATCCACCCATCCTCATTCAGGTCCAAGCATGCAGAGACGAGCCTTTAAATGCATAACGATTTCTTGACTGATTGCAGCAGTTATATATAGATAACACGGGCGCCATTGATAGTCATAGACCATACTCTCTCGCAGCGCAGGTGTAACAGCAACAGCTAATACAAATGACCTAAAAGTATTTTACATTTGTCTTACTGGCGGAGCTAACGAAGATGGTATGTTCGCTCTTTGTTATAAGATGTCTCAAAAAAAGGCGAAGCTCGCGCTCCGACAACTTGGCTTTACTGATGCAGGCACGAAATCTATTGTGGAAGGACCTTACTAGCCAGCAGCTTGAATCAATCCGTCACCCACATCCCAAGAAAGGGCTGACCGGGCGCGACCTCTTGGCGAAGTACACTGGGCTGACGGACTACCAACAGAACAGGAAAACAGCTATTCATTTAGACCTATACATAAGCACACTGCAATTCGGAGAAGAGCAAAGATTCTCTAATGATAAACTGTCGGGACTCTTCTCGATCGTCAAAACAGTCCACCATAAGTCAATAGACGAAGCGCTGACGATGGAGCGCTCGTTCTTGCTGTTCAAGGAGCTTCTCCTGATGCACAGCGTGCAGCGACCGCCGTACAGCCTTGGTCTGTTCACGTACGCTGAGATGCGGAAGATCATGGATTGGATGCTAGACAGCTATTACCGCCACTACAAGCTCTACCAGTACTCGTACACTAGCCGGTACGTATCGCCTTGTGGAAGGTTTGACCAGCCGGGAGCAGGAGCAATTGGAAGTTTGCAGCGCTACGTTGGCACCTGGGAGACGCCATGCACACGCGCGCGCACACACACACACACACACACACACACACACACACACACACACACACATACACATACTCTCCCCAACCCTCACACAGCCCACACAGAAGTTCAGGTTTTCATGCACCCATCCCCCTTTCTGTTCTCTTACCCGCTCCCCCTCCCCCCCCTCCTCCCCGCGATAAGCATACCAGCAGATGTCCTGTTGTACCACTTCCCGCTCCGAACCCGTAGCCCTCACATAACTTTCCCCCATTCCTCAGCCCGTCTCCACCCCGCCAAATTCCATGACACAATTTAACCCAAATCTTTACTGCCCCTAACTCCCCACCATCACCCGCCCCTAAATCCTCCCCAAAAGGATCACCCTGAGTGCCACATACACAAACCCGTACGACATCCTGGAACTGCCCCTGGAGTTGCCCCCACTGGCCAAAGCACTGACGCAAGCGGAACACGATGCCGTACTGACCGCGGAGGAACGGCAGCGGGAGAAGGTACGGCGAACCGGGGTTTTGTGTGGCCGGGGTGTTTCTGGGTGTGGTTTGCTGGCTGACGGGGGCCGGGGGGGTGGGGAGGGGGGATGGGCGGGACGCGAGAGTTCGCGAAAGCGCCGGTTGCAACACCAGCTGTGTTCCTGTGTTTGTGCGTCCCCCGGTCCCCCCGTTCCTCCCTGGAGCGCCCGTTTGCCGCCCCACACGCCACACACCACAAGATCTCTCTCTGTCTCTCCCCCATTCCCATTCCCACTCCTCACCCAATTCTCCCCCCTGGCCCGGCAGGAGGCTGCCGCTGCTGCCGCAGCCGCAGCCGCAGCTGCCGAGGCGGAGAGGCAGGCTCGCCTGCGTGAGGAGTACGAGGCGGCCATTCCCGAGGAGGTCAAGGATCGAGTGGCGGTGGCGCTGGAGAGGGAGCTGGTGGGTCGAGGGAGGGCGGAGAGGGGGCCTCGGGGGGTAATGTGCAGCGGTGAAAAAGCAAAGGTTCAGGTCGGGGGGGAGGTCGGGGAGGAAAGGGAAGGCAGCTAAGAGCCCGCGTCCTCTCGTCCTCCCCAAGAGGGTGTGTCGTTGTAGCATCCTGGATACCACGGGATCTGTCATCCGCCGATCGGTTCTTTTCTGCAAAAGACGTGATACAACAGTCGTGCAGTGCGGTGCGAAGCTGCGGACGATGCGGATGACGTGGCACAGCACAGGGACCGCACACCGTGACCCGCAGCTTCTTTTTCTCCCCGCGAAACTTACTAAACCTGTTCAGGGCCTCTTTCGTAACATCAACCTCGCGCCTCTCCTCTCTTTCGCCTCCTGCTGCTCGTTTTTTAAAAGTTTCTTTTTCTCTCTTCTCTCCTTTCTCTGCCACAGACCCGGTTGCGGCAAATTATGGAGGAGCAGTTCGCTGCGCAGCAGTCCGAGCTGCTGGCCAAGATCGCAATGCTGGAGGCGGGCGGCGGCGGCGTTGGATTGGGCGGCAAAGCAGGGGGCCTTCTGGCGCCAGGGGCATCCCTAGGGGCAGCGGTACAGCGCCCAACGAGCAGTAGCAGCCAGAGCCAGGCCAGGCACGCGGCAGCTGCGGCGGCGGCGGCGGCAGCAGCGCCGGCCACGGGCGCACCAGCGGCGCCGCCGCCAGCACCACCATCCTGAGGGGTGCTCGGTTTGCTTCCTGTGAGGAGCGAGCCAGAAAGCCAAGCGGAACTCTTAACAACGGCGGCGGGATTGGGGGCAGGATGTGGCGCTGGGCTGTCGCGTAGCGTGTCTCTGAAAGCATGGGGCCTGAGAGGGGAGGTCGAGGCGTGCGTGTCGGGTTTAATTACATCGTGCCGCAGAGTTACGCATGTTATGTTAATCGTTATGCCGACGGCGAGTCGCTGCGGTGCTGAGGATTAGGGGCCCCAGGGGGATGGATAGATGGATCGCGTTTGGGGTTCTGTCCGTCCGTCAGTCTGTCACGCCGGTGGAGCACGAAGGGTCTGTTGTGATGATGAGGGCGGGATGTGATGGTGGTGTTGAGCTGAGGATGGTGGCGCCATGTGGTCGTGGTAGTTGGGTGCGGGGATGAAGGTGGAGGTGAGGTGAGGTGCCTTGTCGCAGTCGTAGGTGAGGCGCTGGCGGTGATCCTCCTTGGGGAAGGGTGGGGAGAAATGGCCTTGGGATCGCCCAGGCTGACGGAAGGATATATATGTATGTCCATGTGTCGGTGCGCATGCATGTATGTATGTATGTATTTGCACAGACTCCCCCTCTATGTACTACATGGCTCACTTCCCCACACTGCATGCGACATACATACGACAGGCATACATTCAGACATACAGAGATCCGGTCGTCCGCGGTCCTCCAGACCTCTTCATCACGGTCTGTGTAACGCGGTGGCACGCACCAGCGACTTGCGTTTATTTTCCCAATATGTGATCATTGTGTGATTTTGCCGATTGGGTTTTCTTTCAACATCCACCACACCGCCACACCGCCACACACACTCTCATGACTGGGAAGCCTGGAGGGAGCTGCACCGGTCGCAGCATGGTACAGACACACATACACACACGCATACATATACGTATACATATACACACGCATGCATTCGATCCTTTAACGCGCTCGCGGCCCTCGTCACCTACGACCATCACCCCACTACTCATCCCATCATCATCAACGTCGTCATCTGTCGTTTCTTTGCGATTTGCCTGGGGCCCCACGCGGCTGTCTGATTCAAAGGCGCACATTCTCCTCCTATGTCGATCACGACATCGTCTATCGCTCATTTCCAACGATCGCACAAAATATCCTATACAATCGGCGGAATCCGTGTTGATTACCGTGTACAAGTAACTATACGCAACACCACAAGCAACAACAACAATAAACAAGCATAACGGAAGCAGAAGGACCCACTTACCCTTCCCCACCTCCCACCTCCTCCACTGTTACGGGCCGCCACAGCTCTAACAAGCTAATGCTGCTGCTGCTGCTGCCCACCCGGGAGCCCCCAGGGAGCTCTGTGACCCCCGGGCCCCACTCACTCCTTTCCGGACACCAGAGAAGAAAACGCACAGGGCATCGCCGGCCGTCGTGCGCTTTTAGTACGTGTACGCGATCACCTTCTTTTGTCCGTATTTCAGGACCCCAAGGGGCTGTGTAGCCGACAGTAACCTGCCGCAGCAGCTACTGCCGCTGCCGCAACAATCATCGGCAGTATCAGCAGCAGCAGCAGGAGAAGGAATAGCAGTAGCTGCAGTGGGCATTCACAAGGAAGAACCTTCAGTAGCCAGCCGTCGAATCTTGCTCAGCCGCGCCGCCGCGTCCTCAACCACAGGCCGCAGCGCCGCCAGGGCCGCCCGTACCTGCGCCGCTTGCTGCTGCCGTACCACCACAGCCATCTCCGCCGGCCCTGCAACTGCATGGGCAGCGGCGACGTCCACCGCCGCCGTTACGGTGGCGGCGCCGCCAACCCCGTCCTCCACAGGGGGCCGTCCGTCGACCGCATCGGCTGATTCGAGCTCCTGAAGTAACGCCTTGAGGCGTTTACAATGCCGCAGTACGGATTCAAGTTCCCGTAACTCCCCCTCGTCTCCTGGCGGGTCAGAAGACACGCCCCGTTCAGCGCCGTCACCATCCTGTTGGGGTTGCCTTAACTGATGAGAGTGCGTTTGGTTCAGTTGGTGGTTCTGTTGGTGGTGGTAACGGTGACGTTCATGCTGGTAAAGGTTGTTCGGGTCATCTGAAGCGGCGCCACCACGACCAAATCCACCACCACCACCATCGCCCTCACCAACTCCGACACGTAAAACATAATCACGTCGTTCGTAGCCACCGTCGCCAGCGCCGCAATGTACTTCCTCCTCCACCTCTTCAGCCCAGACGCCGCCCTCACCGCGACTGGGCAGCCGGAGCACGTCCGGCGGGTGCCGCCCGGGGCGGTGTATGGTGATGCCGGCGGAGGCGGCGGACGACGGCGGCGCGGCGGCGATGGCGGCGGCGCCGTGCTGGCCGTCGCCACCGCTCCCATCACCACCTCCGCCGCCCCCGCCTCCGCCTCCTCTTGGTCCGCCGTGCTCCTCCGCATGCAGAGCCACGTTCCGACCACCTGCCAGCAGTGCTGCCGCTGCCTGCCGTGTCAATACCGGTGCCGACGGCGGCACATTGGAGAAAAAGAGCGGTGGAGGTGCAGACTGTCGTAGTACAGGCCACAAGACAGATCCACCACCATCGCCAGCGCCACCGCGCCCGCTTCCTCCTCCTCCTCCTCCTCCGCCTCCTCCACGTCCTCCATGTCCGAAGGTGCCGCTGCCTCGCCAGCTGTCCGCAGGTCCATCAGCGGCGGCGTCACCTCGCCTGACCCCCCCGACAACCTCATGAGCTGCAGCCCCTGCCCCTGCCGCTGCCGCTGGCGCTACAGCCCCTGCCGCTGCCGCTGGCGCTACAGCCCCTGCCACTGGCGCTACAGCCCCTGCCGCTGCCGCTGGCGCTACAGCCCCTGCCGCTGCCGCTGGCGCTACAGCCCCTGCCGCTGCCGCTGGCGCTACAGCCCCTGCCACTGGCGCTACAGCCCCTGCCGCTGCCGCTGGCGCTACAGCCCCTGCCGCTGCCGCTGGCGCTACAGCCCCTGCCACTGGCGCTACAGCCCCTGCCGCTGGCGCTACAGCCCCTGCCACTGGCGCTACAGCCCCTGCCGCTGGCGCTACAGGCCCTGCCACTGTTGCTGCTGCGGATGGCACGCCGAGCTGCAATAAGGCCCCCCCAACACTCTTCACATCCATGCGGCCCGCAGCATCAGCATCAGCAGCATCAGTCGCACCGCCCCCACCAGGAGAGTCAGTACCGATACCGGCGGCAGCACAGGCAACGGAGGTAGTAGCTGTGGAGGTGGTGCCGACAGCCATGGCGGCGTCGCTGACAAGATGAGCGGTACCCGGGCGAACCCGACTCCAAGTCACCGCACCCGCCTTCGCAGTCGGAAGCTGCTCCGGACCGCCGCATCCGGCGACTGCCAACGACGCTGGTCGGTCGTACAAGCCCCGTACGGAACCGTCAGCCGGTTGACCGCCGCCGCCGCCGGCGCCGCCAAAGCAAGCCACAGTGGCGGGGCGGCGCGGCAGCAGCAAAAAGTCTGGGCACCGCGGCGGCGGCCTGGCGGCGGCGGCGGCGGCGGCGGCCCGAGGCCTGGCGGCTGTTGCCGCCAATGGGACGTCGACGTGGGCCCCGCCACCATCCCCACCACCACTGCCGATCAGGCCACTGATCCCAGGAAATCCTACGCCGGTCCCAACAGCCCAACCACCACCATCCGCAGCGGCGGCGGCGGCAGGGCCTGGAGGATCTTCAGAAGGATGTACGGCATTCCGACAGGGGGACGAGGAGAATGAGAATGAGGAGGAGGAGGAGGAAGGCCACTGGGTGCCCCGGCCACTGGGTGCTGGCGGCGTAGTAGTGGAGGCAGTCGGGGTGCTGGTGGCGGCGGCGGCGTCGCTTGGGAAGACAGCAGTAGCAAACCGTTCCACGACGCCGGATGGTGCCCGTGGCGATGGCCGTACGGAGACCGCTGCTGCCGACGCCACCAAGCCGTCGAGGCCTCCACGCCTTGCCACTGAAATTGGCGGCGGCATCCGTACGCCAGCGCGGCCGCTGTACGAAGGCGGCGCCACCCCCGCCGCTGCTGCCGCTGCCGTGTATGACGCGCTCCGGAGTGCCGCTCCCGTACCTCCAGTTTCAGTTCCACCAACACGACCACCGTCAGCCATGATGCTGGTCGCGGTAGTGGCGGTCGTGAAGGCGGTGGCGGCCGCGGGTGTTGCAAGTGTGTGCCGGCCCCGCATCTGCTGCATGCCAGTGGTGGCGACGGCGGCGGCGGCGACATGTCTTAGTCGGCCGCCACTGTCACCACCCGCAACTATCGACGTTCCTGCGTCCACAAGACGAACACCGGTAGCCGCCGCCGCCGCCACAGCTGACGCTGACACGGGATATGCGGCGGCGGCGGAGGTCCTGGTAGTGGGCCAGGCGGACAGCGACCGGGGGCCCGTCGAAGCGGTGGGGGCGGCGGGGGCGGCGGCGAGCTCGGAGGCCGCGGCGGGGGCCGCAGCAGCTCCCCTGGGACGAGAGAAAGGATACGTTAAATTAACCTCCAGTGGAAGCGTCTGGAATCTAAGCTGCTGCTGTTGCCGCCGCCTGTGTCGTACCAAGTTCAGCCAGCGGCGAGCAAAGGGCTCCACACGGGCCAGCTGCTGCGCCAGGCTGCGAGCCTGCATATGGGCCGGCGCCGGGCAAACCGTCCCATGGGTCGCAGAGGTGAAATACGTGTCCCGCGTGGTTTCATCATCAGAGCGCAGTCCGCTGTCCCATGTACTTGAGGGCACTTCCACTCAAGAGCTCTTTCCATGGGTTTCAGGAGCAGCGATTCATGATTCGATGTCGAAGATTCACCTTCCCTGTGTTTCGTAACCCCCTCCTCCCCAGCTACATACATACATACATACATACATACATACATACATACATACATACATACATACATACATACATACATACATGCATATACATACAGCCAAACGCTGCTACCGCTTCACCCCTCAACAACGTCCTTCGGTAGCGTTATCGCTCGCGTACCATTTCCCCCGATCGACAGTTCCCCGGCCACACACGGCTCCCCACGGCTCCTCTCAGACCAGACCAATGAAACACACACACACACACACACACAAACACACACACAAACACACACACAAACACACACACACACACAAACGCACCCACCTGCCGAGCCGCCAGCATCTCAATCCGCTGTTGCCGTAGCTCCAAGCCCACCTGCAACCAGGCCGCCACACCCTCCCGCTGTAGCCGCCGTACGTACTGCGCACGTGCGGCGATGTACTCACGAGCCTTGGCGGCGCGGTACCTGCCATACCACCTGCGTGTGTTGGTGTGTGTGAAGGGGTTGGTGGAATCTTAATTGGCGGTGAAGGGGCCGGAGGCGGCACGACGGGGCAGACACGACGAAACCAGGAGGGGACGTGTACGGCGGTAGCGCGGGGGGGGGCCCCTCAGGAACAAAAGACCACGGCCAAAACCCCGACATGACACGACGGAGCTTCCCCGCTCAAAAACAAACACGGTCGCTTTGCCCGTTTTCCTTTTAGTTCTCTCCCCGCCACCCGACCGCCGCCGCCACATGCTCACGTCAGCGCCGCCATACCCCGCCGCAGCAGCAGCCGGCGCTGGTGCTCCGAAGCCACCGCCGCTGCCCTCCGTTTGGCGCGTCGCGTCGCGGCGTACCGAGCGAGGGCCTCGAGCACCGATCGCCATACTCGATGTCGATATGCGGTCCGCGCCCTGGCCGTCAGGCAGGTGGCGGTACGGCGGTGGGCCAGGTATAGGGCCCAGGAGGTCATGCAGCGGCGGAGGGTGCAGTGGCGCCAAGAGGCCCGTGCTCTCGTGTCCTGGTGGGAAGGGCATGAGATTGGTAATGACAAAGACGACGGCGATATGGCGGATGTGGGACAGACTTACATACATACACACACGCGCCCGATGGGAGCGTGCATTCTTCAGGCATCAATGCAGGTGCACAGCCAATGGCTACGTGGCCGACACTCACGGGCATAGATAGATAGATAGATAGATAGATAGATAGATAGATAGATAGATAGATAGATAGATAGATAGATAGATAGGTAGATACAGAGCCGGCGGCTCCTATCATCCAGTACGTAGCTACATACATATGCACATACATACGCACACAGCGACACCCTTACCTGGAAGCGCTTCATGACCAAGTCCTCCGCCACCTGCCGCCACGCCGCCAGCAGCCGCCGTGTCGTACCAGCCGCCAGCTCCGAAACCAGCTCCTCCAGTCGTACCGCCTTTGCTGCCCGCCGGGTCTCCTGCAGGTGAGGCGCGGTCGACCAGGCGACCAGCACACGGCGCAGCAGCTGCAGGGCGGCGAAACCCGCGGCCTCCCGCTGCCGGTCGCGCTTAGCCGCCAGCCTACGACCACCACCACGAGCGCGACAACGAGGAGGGCGACGACGTCAAGTAAAGCCGAAGAGGGGCGCCGATGATGCGCCGATGATAATCATGCGGTGGTGGTGGTGGTGGTGGTGGTGGTGGTGGTGGTAGCACACAAACATCCCCCATTCTACGGCTTTTCTCCCCTTGAGCTACCCCCTACCCCTAACCCTACCCCCTCCCAACCCATCTCCCAGCCCCATCCCCCTCTACACTTCTGCTGCGAGTTACCCCCACCCATGACCCCAACCACCAACCACCGACATCTCACCTAGTTGCCTCCAACCGCCACCCCGCCAGCGCCCGCCGCGACAGCGACGTCCTCCTCTGCGCATCCGCCCATCGCCCCGCGGCCCGCTTTGCAGCAGCCACCGGCAGGAAGTCATGTCGCCAGACGTGTAGCACTCGGCGGGCCACGTGAAGGGAGTGCAGGCGACTCAGGTCCGCCCAGTCTCGCTGACGGACGGAGAGGGGAAACGACGAACCACGAACGGAAGGGGGGGAAGGTGCATGGGTTGCATACGGCGAAGCACAGACGACTGCCGCACAAGCACACACACACACACACAAGGGCACACATGCACAAGCACGCACACACACACAGAAATCTGAGGAGGTTGGGGAGGAACAAAAGTCAAAGAAACAGCTGCTAACGGCCAAAGCACCATCTTTAACAGGTAAGGGAAGTGTGTGTACGTGTGTGGCGGAGGCCGGGGGGAGGGGTTGAGAAACAAACAAATGAGGGGAAAAATAGGGTGAGGAGGAGGGGCACGAGCAGGAGACTGGGAACAGAATTAAATATGCGTCCAGGCCCAGGCCCAGGCAGCTCTTTCGGGCCTGCCTGCTTGCTTTTGCCCCTTTGTACTGTCGCCTCTAGTACGACACTAAAATGCCGTACCGTTCGTACGCATACCTGTTTTGCGCGGCGTCGCTCCACGGCAGCCCGAAAGGCATGTATACCCGAATGAAGCAAAGTCAGATACCTGCATGCCGCCGTACACAAATCCGCAAAGTACTGTCTGCATGGAGCCTCAATTCTTTTCGTGGTAATACCCCGGGTGGTATTACGGCACCCCATACATATTAAATACAAAAATAAGATATCTGTATAATCTATAAACGCAACCTTTGGATCTTTCATCCTCCAAACCTACAAGCCTTTATAGGACACACCGCCTTGCTGCGCCACTTGGTGTTTCTTTTCCTCCTTTACCCATCTTCCCAGCCACCTTCACTCCCCCCCTTACCCGAAATACCCCAACCCCACCCACCCCGCCAAAACCCCACCCACCCCACGGGTACCTGTGCCGTACAGCCCGGCGGCGGCCCAGCTCCTTTCGGGCCTTATACCGGGTATGACTCAGCCAGCCCCCCAGTGCCACCCGCAAAAGCCGGTGGGGCCTGTGCTCCGGAACCACGTGCTTCATGACTTGTCGCCTAGGGGAAGAGAACAGGAGCCACACGGAATGGGAGACGGGGGCCGTCGGGCCGGGATCTCCTCAACAAAACACGGAAGGGAAGGGAAGAGAAGGGACACATGCGGACGAGAGCAACACAAGAATCGTACATTCGAATTGAAGTTCCTACAAAAATCATAACAACAACAACAACAATATTTCCCAACCGCCGTTTATTCCATCACCGATAGAAGTCCTCCACCAACCCACCATTCACCCTAACCACCTCTTTCCCTGGCCATCGTGCCCGTGCTGCAAACACGCACAGGCATCCATTCACAGATATAGACGTACAGACAGACATGCGGACAGACACACGCCAGCCCCTCACCCCCGCATGCCGCACGCACCCCCTCACCAGGCGTATCGCCGCCACGCCCTCACCACTCCGCGAAGCGCCTTTCGCCGCCAATGCCCCTCCGCCACACAAACCGCCACTGCCTTCGCAGCCCGGCGCGCAGCCTCGCAGCTCCAGAACCGCAGCAGCCGCGCCAGTGCGCGCCGCCGCTGCCACGCCGCCGCGCGCCCCCAGGCAGCGGCCTTGGCCTGCCAGTGTACGACACGGGACCGCCAGGCCGCCAGTACCGCAGCCGCCACGACGCGACCCACACGCCGGGTCGCAATCTGTACGACGGCGAATAATGGTCCCCAGGAAAAAGAGTATGTTAAAAGGTTACAAAGAGAGCATAAACGCGTGCATGGAAGGGGTGCACATGTGTATGTATATATGTACGTACGTATGTATGTATGTATGTATGTATGCATGTACACACCCATACGCGCACGCACCCTGAGCAGCTCTCGTTTCACTGCCCAGTGCTCCACCATCGCCCGCCACGTCACCCAGCATGCCCGTACGAGCACAACAGCACGCAGCTCAGTGTTGCGCTGTCCCTGGAGCACCTCAACCGCCAACCACCAACGGTACCAGGACAAGTGCAACCGCAACCGCCGTCCGACTGAGGTTGAAAAGAGGGGCGAGGTTGTGTTGGGCAGGGGCCGGGGCGTGATGAGAAAGGGGACGAGCGTTAACGAGGAGGAGTGCCAGGGAGGTGGTTGGGATTTAGGGTGGAGTCAACAGTGCGAACAGTAACGGATTAACTGGAGCGGGGTGCGGTGAGAAAAAAGGATGGCGGGAGGAAAAGCGAATGGGGGCGAATGGGAGGAGATGCCTTAAGTCCTCACACATGACATACATACATACATACATACATACATACATACATACATACACACATACACACTCATATATACGGTTTGTGCGAGGCACGTTGCCACTCATGCTGAATAACAGGCACCCTTTGCTTAACAGCACGTTTCCCCCCGCGCCCCCGCGTGACGCACAACGATTAAAAACAGCACCATTAATATTCCACACACGTATGGTGGAGGTAGACGACTGAGATGTCTCCCTGTGTTGCCAGGTCTCCCTAGGTGTCCATTTCGGAGTGTGTTTCCAATCCTCTTAAGTCTAGGTGCGAATCCCCAACCCCAATCTCACCACACCTTCGACCCCGTCGCCACACATTCATTCATTCATTCATTCATACATACATACGTACATACATACGTACAGGGCCGCACAGATGCCATCAGCATTTCCGTCTCCCCGATGAGTTCACATTCCTATTTAACACATACACACACACGCGCTGGTCGTGCCCGTGTCAGACCCCAAACCCTAAAGCCCTTCCCCCCATCCCCGATAGAGAGTTGCTTGTTACGCCACCCACCTCCCTCCGCTCACTTCCCGACCGGCCTTTTCTCTCACCAAGGGGGGGCCCCATCTCAGAAATGCAACGCCCTTTCGCGAAACATTCCACTATCGGCAGTTGGCAAATGTCCTACATTCCCACTACAGCCTATTCACACTAAGAAAATAATGTTGATCTTGCGTATCAACAGCATTTCCTTTTGTTCGGCTTTGTTTTTCCTAACCTCCCATCCTTTCACGCCCTCCTCTCTCTCCTCCCCCATGCAGACACATAGACACACATCCACACACATACATACACATACACACATACATACATACATACATACACACATACACATACATACACGTCGCACCTCGTTGCATCACCCGCCCGCACGTCTTCAGGTGCCGGCTCCGGGCTACCCGCTGGCGCCAGCCCCATATAACCACCAACTGCCACCAACGCCGCATGTACGCCATGCCGTACCGTTCCCTCTGGCGGCGCCGACGGCGTTCAGCGGCGTAAGCCTATACGTCGCAACGATGTGGGGTTCGAGGGCCGTGGAGAGGGTTTAACAGACCCGGGGGGTGGGGAGGGGGAAGGGTTTGGAGAAGGAGTTGGAGAAGGGGGATAGAAGAAGTGGATTAGGAAGAGCTACACATGGTTGCGGACAGGGCGCGGTACGGCATTGTGATTCGCACGACATGAGTTAGCGTTAGGCGAGTACATGCATCGTGCAGAAATTCACTTTGCTTTCCGGTTAATAAATAAAGGCATGTAATGGCCTTGCTGCATTGTTGTTAACAATCGCGCCTCAGCCAACCAACAGCTCCTCAGATACCACATACATACATACATACATACACACATACATACATACACACCTGCCATTCTACAAACGCCGCCGCCGCCTTCTGCGTATACATCCCCGCCGCCGCGGCTGCCAGCGCCGCGCTCGCCGCGTCGCGTGCCGTACGGTACGACGCCGCAGCGTCGCGCCAGCGCCGCAACGCGGCCCGGGCCGCGTAGCGCCTCCGGAACGCAGCACCTCGCTGCGCCGCCGCGGCCTTCCAATGCCGTACCGCCACGGCTCGCCGCCACGCCATAAGGGCCTTACGTCCCAATGCGGCGCCGTGCTGCGCCTCCGCCCACGCGACACGACGCGCCTTCATCCGCCGCCGCTCACACCAGGCGTGCCACTTTCGCAAGACGCGTGTCATCGTTGAGAAGCAGTAATAAAACCACGCCTGGAAGGGCCGTTTTCCCCACACACATACCGCAACCAACATTTCCCCCCCCATGGTCAGGTTCTCAGGTTCCACCCCTAACAGCATCTTATAAAACCAAATATGCCTTTATGATCCAATTTTCATCATTTTTTTCACACAGCGATCTAGCGGTGCTCGGCTAAGTCTTCTGCTGCATGTTTCTGTGCTGTAGTGCACGGCTAGGAGGGGCACTGAAGGGGGGGGAGGTGGGTTAAGACGAACGAACCACAGACGAGTGCAGCCGATACCAGGATGGTAGACGGGTACTCCAGGACAGGGGCCGTCGTCGTGTGGTGCCCGAAAGGTGGGCGGTGGGTGCACCCCGAGCTGCCGGGGAGAGAGCTAGCCGGGTGGAAGGGGTGGAAGGGGTGAGGAGAGTGAGGGAGCGCCCCAGGGGGAAGACCAGTCCCCGTTCCCGCTCGCTTGCACGACACCCAATGGCTTCTCCTGGACTATACGTCTATGTCTGGTGTCTGCTTCATTCGCCAGCGGTTCGTCTTTAACCCCCTCCACTGGCCCCGTTGCCAGAGGTTAACAGGGCAAAACTACTCCCATACACACACACACACGCGCGCCTTCAGGCTCCCTTAACGGGGCCCCGCGCAGCTGCATCCAACCCGCTCATCCACCCACCGCACACCCACTCGAGGACATTTGGAGAGGGGAAAAAGAAGAAGAAAA